CACCACACCTTCACTACACTTCAAAACACCTCCAACACACCTTGACCACACCTTGACCACACCTTGACCTCACCTTGACCACACCTTCACCACACCTTCCACCACACCTCCACCACACCTCCATATCACCTTCGCCACACCTTCCTCACACCTTCAACACACCTCCACCACACCTTCAGCACACCTCCACCACACCACCACGCCTTCACCACACCTCCACCACACCTCCACGCCTTCACCACACCTTCACCACACCTTCAACACACCTCACCACACCTTCAACACACCTCCACCACACCTTCAACACACCTCCACCAAACCACCACGCCTTCACCACGCCTTCACCACACCTTCACCAACACCTCCACCACACCTTCACCACACCTACACCACACCTACACCACACCTTCACCACACCACCACACCTTCACCACGCCTTCACCACGACTTCACCACACCTACACCATACCTACACCACACCTTCACCACACTTCCACCACACCTTCACCACACCTTCACCACACTTCCACCACACCTTCACCACACCTCCACCACACCTTCACCACACTCCCACCACACCTTCACCAGACATCCACCACACATTCACCACACATTCACTACTTCACCAGACCTTCACCACACCTTCACTACACCTTCAATAGACCTCAACCACACCTGACACACCTTGACCACATCTTCACAACACCTTCACCAGACCTCAACCACACCTTGACCACACCTTCACTAGACCTCCAGCACACCTTCCCCACACCTTAACCATACCTTCACCACACCTACACCAAACCTCACACACACCTTCACCACACCTACACCACACCTACACCACACTTACACCACACCTACACACCACCTACACCACACCTTCACCACACCACCACACCTTCACCACGCCTTCACCACGACTTCACAACACCACACACCACACCTACAGCACACCTTCACCACACCTTCACTACACCTTCAAAACACCTCCAACACACCTTGACCACACCTTGACCACACCTTGACCTCACCTTGACCACACCTTCACCACACCTTCACCACACTCCACCCACACCTCCATATCACCTTCGCCACACCTTCCCCCACACCTTCAACACACCTCACCACACCTTCAGCACACCTCCACCACACCACCACGCCTTCACCACACCTCCACCCACACCTCCACGCCTTCACCACCCTTCACCACACCTTCAACACACCTCCACCACACCTTCAACACACCTCCACCACACCTTCAACACACCTCCACCAAACCACCACGCCTTCACCACGCCTTCACCACACCTTCACCACACCTCCACCACACCTTCACCACACCTTCACCACACCTCCACCACACCTTCACCACACCTTCACCACACCCTCAACACACCTCCACCACACCTTCAACACACCTCGCCACACCACCACACCTTCACCATACCTTCACCACATCTTCAACACACCTTCAACACACCTCCACCACACCTCCACCACACCTTCAACACACCTCCGCCACACCACCACACATTCACCACACCTCCACCACACTACACCCACACCTACACCACATCTTCACCACACCTTCACCACACCTTCACCACACCTTCACCACACCTTCAACACACCTCCACTACATCTTCACCACACCTACAACCACCTTCACCACACCTTCACCACACCTCCATCACACCTCCACCACACCTTCAACACACCCACCACACCACCACACATTCACCACACCTGCACCACACCTACACCACACCTACACCCACCTACACACACCTTCACCACACCTTCACCACACATTCACCACACCTTCACCACACCTTCAACACACCTCCACCACACCTCCACCACACCTACAACATACCTTCACCACAACTCCACCACACCTCCACCACACCTTCATCACACCTCCACCACACCACCACACATTCACCACACCTCCACCACACCTACACCACATCTACACCACACCTACACCACGTCTTCACCACACCTTCACCACACCTTCACCACACCTTCACCACACCTTCAACACACCTTCACCACACCTTCACCACACCTACACCACACCACCACACATTCACCACACCTTCCACCACACCACCACATCTTCATCACACCTCCACCACACCTTCACCACACCTTCACCACACCTCCACCACACCTTCACCACACCTTCACCACACCTTCACCGCTCCTTCACCACACCTTCACACCTCCACCACACCTACACCACACCTTCACCACACCTCCACCTCACCTTTACCACACCTTCACCACACCTCCACCACACCTTCACCACACCTACACCACACCTTCACACCTACACCACACCTTCACCACACCTTCACCACACCTTCACCACAACTTCAAACCATCACCTGTCAGATCTGTTTTCAACGCTCAATCCAAGTTTATTTATTTTCTTTTGATTTTGTTGATATTCGCTTCAGAATATTTAGTTGTACATAATTCCTTCCGTTGTTTAGTTATGTCTATCAACATAACTCTATATTTTATCTCTTGGAATTTATTGGTATAGATTAAGTATTTCTACTATAATTAATATCCGCTTTCTTAATATTTTATATTAATTAATACATCTACTGCAAACACGTCACGTGTTTCTTAGTTAAACACGTCACGTGTTTCTTAGTCAAACACGTCACGTGTTTCTTAGTCAAACACGTCACGTGTTTCTTAGTCAAACACGTCACGTGTTTCTTAGTCAAACACGTCACGTGTTTCTTAGTCAAATACGTCACGTGTTTCTTAGTCAAACACGTCACGTGTTTCTTAGTGAAACACCTCACGTGTTTCTTAGTGAAACACCTCACGTGTTTCTTAGTCAAATACGTCACGTGTTTCACTAAGAAATACTTGTAACACTTGTAACTCAGTGAAGATATTTCCCACAAAATATGTAACTTAAGCACAAAATATTCACTCTAGCGTTTATGTGGACACCTCTGACTGCATTTTTATCAGTATAAATGTAAGTTAACAAATATTGCTTTTATATGGCAATCAATTAGGTTCGCCGGTACTTCCGGTCCGGGTTTGCCGGTACTTCCGGTCCGGGTTCGCAGGTACTTCCGGTCAGGGTGTTCTCCAGGTGGCGATCCGGCGTATGGCGATAAAAATTTAATTATAATAGCAGTTGATTGTTTTAACACTTGGGTCGTCCCCCACCGAGGTGCGGTGATCCGAGGGAAAGAAACACTTCCAATATCACTCACCCCTGGAGAGTGTACCTGGAGAGTGTACCTGGAGAAGGTTTCGGAGGTCAACGTCACCGCGGCCCGGTCTGAGACCAAGCCTCGTGGTGGATCAGGGTCTGATCAACCAGGCTGCTACTGCTGGCCGCACGGAAACTGACATACGGACTCTTGCTAGAGACTCGCAGACACTGCAGCTCAAAATGGCCTTCCTAACTGCAATATTCCCACCACTGCTTCAGAGTGCACGCACTCTTTTCCCCACTTCCAGAACTCAAGTCCGGCTAACTGTTTCGCCGAATCCCTTCATAAATATTGCGTTGCTCACACTTTAACAGCACTTTACGTTATGAAAACTACTTACCTTCACGCCTGTTAGATGTCCAAGCCCCTCTCATACAAAAACCTCCTAGAACGACCGACTGCTACTCTGCCTTCCCTCCACTACATACTTATATACCATCCAAGTTACCCTATTTTGCTTCCTCTCTGAATGTCCAAACAACCTCAATAACCCTTCCTCAGTCCTCTGGATACTATTGTTACTGACACTGCACCTCCCACTGCTTCATGCCCAAACATTTAAAAATACATGCATCATGCCCATAAAAGAGTGTTGGTACTCCTCACCTCTGTACTCCATACCTCAATTGTTCACCACCACACCCTGTTCTCCCTCGTCAATTAAATAGTTCACCTCATCTTTCATGTCGTCATCTATTCTCAGGTACCTGAACACAGTCACTTCCTCTGTACTCTCTCCTAACAATCTGATATCCAACCTTTTATTATTTAATTTTTTTTTGTTGCGCTCATCACCTTGCTTTTGCCGATGTTCGCTTTTAATTTCCTTCCTTTACATTCCTTCCCAAATTCGTTCACCAACCTTTGCAGCTTCTCATCAGAATGTCCCAAAAGCACAGTGTTATCGGCGAGAAACAGCTGTAACAACTCCCATTCTGTATCAAATTCTTTATCTTTTAGCGTCCCGTGGCTCGGTTGGTAACGCTCTTGCCTCACACGCTGAATGTCAGTGGACCAGTCCCCAGTACGGGTGGAAACGTTGGGCATGTTTCCTTACACCTACTGTCCCTGTTCATCTAGCAACAAGTAGATACCTGGGTGTTAATCGACTGATGAGGGTCGCATCAGGGGAATAAAATTAAAGAGAGTCCTTGACAACACACTAACTTTCTTGCGTTATCCTGGTTGGCTAACCCTCCGAGTTAAGTATCCAAGCAAATCTTATCTTATCCTTCTCTCCCAAACACTCAAGCATTCACTTTTTCAACTTCACTGATAAACATGTTAAACAGCCATGGTAACATCACACAACCCTATCTAAGGTCTACTTTTACTTGTAAATAATTTCTGCTCTGTCCTTCGTATCCTCATCCGAATCTCACTATCTTCATAAAATCTTTTAACTGCTTTAAGTAACCTATCACCTATTCCATACACTTACAACTTTCGCCGCACTATACCCCTACCCTCTGTTATATGCCTATTCTCGACCCATAAATGTTGATGTCATTAATAAATTCAGGGAGAGCGCTAGACCTTTAAGGGTTATGCAGCGCTACACGGCAATGGTGAAAGACCTGGTATGAGAGGAAAGGTGAAAAAAATGAAAATGGAAGACAGAGCTGAAATAGCAATCGATGTCAGTTAAGGCAACATAGTGAGAGAAAAGCGAGGGACTATCAGAATCCCGGGAAGACAATGTAAGACAGATGAATCATAAAGCAGCAGTCCACCTGCCCACAAACAGCAAAAATACTTATCTCTAAGATATGGATTTACGTAACAAGAATACCAGTATATACGCACTGAGAGATACAAAGGCTACTCTTTTCGATACGTATCTACCGAGAGTAAATTCTCCTCTCAGGATACACCAACGTGTAGGGTAATGCCGGTTTTTACTTATATTTTTCATACTGATCTATTTACATTTTGTTGTCTTTGTCAGCACGCATCCCTGTGCAATATAGATTTTAGTAATTTTGTAAATTTCTAGGGTTTAATAAGTTATTAATAATTCGGGGTTTAGTAAAGCATAAGAGTTAGAATATATTTCAGTGGTACAAAATTCTTAAAAGTCACACAGTGATTAAGGTTTCTTATTTATTTACAGAAGATTTTTTTCACAGACAGTTGAGGATAACGAGTGACTTGTTACAGCCGATGTCTCCGCAAAGAAAGATTCCGGTGGTCGACCTGGGCCAGCTGGGTGAGTAGTCGAATATAAATGATTCCCACTGACGTTGCTAGCAACTTATGAAAAACTGGCTGAGAAGTTGAAAGGGCTGGAATTCTGTATTATTGTATTATGGTGACTTGGGCTACATAAAAATCGCTTTCAATGGCATGTCGTGCAAGGGAGACGGAGACTAGTCAGGAGTGTAGAGGAGGAGGGTGTTGATGCTTGCTCTCCATGAAGTCTGGACGTGACACGGAGACCAGTCAGGACTAGCAAAGGGTGATGATGATGCGTGTTCATCTCCAGGTTTGGGGTGGGACAAAGAGGCCAGCCAGGAAGAATTGCAGAGGGTGGCGAGGCAGCTACATGAAGCCTTCACGGATATTGGATGTGCTTACTTAACCAACCATGGCGTTCCCGACGACCTGGTAAGAGAATAATCACGGTGCAGTATAAACGAAATGTTGTATAAAAAAGATGCAAAAAAAAAAACTAGAACCGATTTCAGAATCTCAAACATAAATGGAATTATATATCTGTAATTCATAATGGAATTATATATCTGTAATTCATAATCGTGCTTTTATACAACTGACATTTTGCATTTCTAAATTATCACTGACATCGGTAATACTATGGACAAAATTGAGCTATTCTCTTTTTCCTGGGATCAAACCTTATTACCTCTCATTCAAAGGTTTTATATAACCCATGAGGGTTTATCGTACCCTTATTAAAGTAATTGTAAATTAATTTGAATTCTTAGTTGCATGAAGATGATTAATTGATTTTATGGACTGATACAATTATTATTTTCTAATTATTCAATTGCTGTATAGTCCTTGTGGCTTAGCGCTTCTTTTTGATTATAATAATAATAATAATTATTCAATTAGATTAATTTATTGACTCACCAATTCATGGATTGAGTAGGTGAGTCGTGTCTTCAATTCCGGGTCTGCCTTCTTCCGCCTGGACCAGAGCCAGAAGGATCGCTACGCTAAGAATGTCAAGACTCACGAGGGATATATAGCTTCTAGCAAGGAGAAGTGTGTTACTTCCTTCTCTGGTTGTTCTTTGTACTGTGATGGTCGTCGTTGTCCATGTTGTTGTTGTTGTTGTTACGGTAGCAGTGGTTGTTTATTGTGACTGTTATTATTTTTTGTCATAGGATATTTTGATTATAATGGTTCTTGTTGGTATTTATTGTTCTTGTTGCAGTTATTATTGCTGTTAATTATGTTATTATTACGTATTATTATTATTATATTATTATTATTATTATTATTATTATTATTATTATTATTATTATAGTAGTAGTAGTAGTAGTAGTAGTAGTAGTAGTAGTGATAATAGTAGTAATAGTAGTAGCAGTGGTAGCAGTAGTAGTAGTAGTAGTAGTGGTGGTAGTAGTAGTAGTAGTAGTAGTAGTAGTAGTAGTAGCAGTAGTAGTAGTAGTAGTAGTGGTGGTGGTGTAGTAGTAGTGGTAGCAGTAGTAGTAGTGGTAGCAGTAGTAGCAGTAGTACTAGTGGTAGTAGTAGTAGTGGTGGTGGTAGTAATAGTAGTAGTAGTGGTAGTAGTAGTAGTGGTGGTGGTGGAAGTGGTAGCAGTAGTAGTAGTAGTAGTAGTAGTAGTAGTAGTGGTAGTGGTAGCAGTAGTAGTACTAGTAGCAGTAGTAGTGGTAGAAGTAGTAATGGTAGCAGTAGCAGTGGTAGCAGCAGTAGTAGTAGTAGTAGTAGTAGCAGTAGTAGCAGTAGTAGTAATAGTTGTAGTAGTAGTAGTTGTAGTAGTAGTAGTAGTAATAATAGTAGTAGTAGTAGTAGTAATGGTAGTGGTAGTAGTAGTGGTAGTAGTAGTAGTAGTAGTAGTAGTGGTAGTAGTAGTGGTGGTAGTGGTAGCAGTAGAAGTGGTAGCAGTAGTAATAGTAGAAGTAGTAGTAGTAGTTGTAGCAGTAGTAGTAGTAGTGGTAGTAGTAGTAGTAGTGGTAGTGATAGTAGTAGTAGTAGTAGTAGTAGTAATAGTGGTAGTAGTAGTAGTGGTAGTGGTAGTAGTAGTAGTAGTAGCAGTAGTGGTAGTGGTAGTAGTAGTGGTAGTAGTAGTGGTAGCGGTAGTAGTAGTGGTAGCGGCAGTAGTAGTGGTATTAGTAGTAGTGGTAGTAGTAGTAGTAGTAGTGGTAGTAGTAGTAGTGGTAGTAGTAGTAGTAGTAGTAGTAGTAGTAGTAGTGGTAGTAGTGGTAGTAGTAGTAGTAGCAGTAGTAGTAGTGGTAGTAGTGGTAGTAGTGGTAGTTGTGGTAGTAGTGGTAGTAGTGGTAGTAGTGGTAGTAGTAGTAGTAGCAGTAGTAGTAGTGGTAGTAGTGGTAGTAGTGGTAGTTGTGGTAGTAGTGGTAGTAGTGGTAGTAGCAGTAGTAATAGTGGTAGTAGTAGCAATACATATTATTGTGAATATTATTATTTTTGTTTTTAACAAAATAAATGACGTCAAAAATGCAACTTTAGAGCCTGGGTATCTCTACAGTTTCACTAGCCTAGTGGAGTTGCACGAAACATACAACATAAAGTCGGCCGAGGCTGTCTTTCCTGATGCGGAGGTACCATCCTTCAGACCTTCTGTGGCTTCCATCCTCAAGTCGTGCAGGAAACTCTCCATCCGCATTATGAGGGTCATAGCCATCGCTCTAGGTATGTGGATCTTTCTAAGAAGTTTTGCTGGTTGTTGCAGGTGAAGATAGATAACACACACACACACACACACATACACACATTGAAAAGATTGGGCTCATACATGACAGTCAGCACGGCTTCAGAGATGGGAAATCCTGTGTCACAAATCTACTTGAGTTCTACGATAAGGTAACAGAAGTAAGACAGGAGAGAGAGGGATGGGTAGAGTGCATCTTTTTAGACTACAAGAAGACTTTTGACACAGTACCACACAAGAGACTGGTGCAAAAATTAGAGGAGCAGGCAGGTATAACGGGGAAAGTACTGCAGTGGATCAAGAAATACCTGACAGGAAGGAAACAACGAGTGTTGGTACGTGCTGAAGTGTCGGAGTGGGGTTCCCCAAGGTTCAGTCCTAGGCCCGGTGCTGTTTCTTGTATACGTGAATGACATGGTGGAAGGAATAGATTCAGAAGTGTCACTGTTCGCTGATGATGTGAAGCTGATGAGGAGAATACAAGTGGGCGAGGATCAGTTAAGATTACAAGGGGATCTGGACAAACTACAAGTATGGTCCAACAAATGGCTCCTGGAGTTTAACCCCAGTAAGTGTAAGGTCATGAAGATTGGGGAAGGACACAGAAGACCGCAGACGGAGTACAGGTTAGGAAACCAACAGCTGCAAACGTCAGTTAAAGAAAAGGATCTTGGGGTAAGCATTATAACGAACATGTCCCCTGAGGCACACATCAATCAAATAACTGCTGCAGCATATGGGAGATTGGCAAACCTGAGATTGGCGTTTAGACATCTGAGTAAGGAGTCATTCACGACATTGTACACAGTGTACATAAAGCCTATACTTTAATATGCAGCGCCAGTATGGAACCCTCACTTAGTAAAACACGTTACGAAATTGGAGAAAATGCAAAAATTTGCAACACGATTAGTCCCGGAACTGAGGGGTATGTCATATGAGGAGAGGTTAAAGGAACTCAACTTGATGACACTAGAGGATAGGAGGGATAGAGGGGACATGATAACAACGCATAAAATACTAAGAGGCATTGACAAGGTGGACAAGGATCGAATGTTTCATAGATGGGATACAGAAACAAGGGGACACAATTGGAAACTGAAAACCCAGATGAGTCATAGGGATGTTAGGAAGTATTTCTTTAGTCTTAGATTTGTCAGGAAATGGAATAATCTGGAGAGTGAAGTAGTGGAAGCAAGTTCCATAAATAGTTTTAAGAAGAGGTATGACAAATATCATGGAGCAGGGAGAGAGTGAATTAGTATCAACCAGTGAAGAGGCGGGGCTAGGAGCTATGACTCGACCCATGCAACCACATATAGGTGAGTACACATAGGTGAGTACACACACACACACACACACACACACACACACACACACACACACACAAGAACATTAGAAAGAAGGAACACTGCAACAGACGTACTGACCCAAGCGGAGCGGGTCCATGTCCTCCTCCCCCCGGATTAGCTCAATGACCCACCCAGTCTGGTCACCCCCACTCAAGGAAGGAGCATGGCACCAAACCCAGCAGCACAAGCTAGTCAGGTCCATCTCACACCCACCTACACCCACTCCTGTATTTATCTAACCTATTTTTAAAACTACACAACGTTTTAGCCTCAATAACTGTACTCGGGAGTTTGTTCCACTCATCCACAACTCTATTACCAAACCACTGCTTTCCTATATCCTTCCTGAATCTGAATTTTTCCAACTTGAAACCATTGCTGCGAGTCCTGTCATGGCTGGAATTTTTCAGCACGCTATTTACATCCCTTTTATTTATTCCTGTTTTCCATTTATACACCTCGATCATATCCCCCCTAATTCTACGCCTTTCGAGAGAGTGCAGATTCAGGGTCCTCAGTCTATCCTCATAGGGAAGATTTTTGATACATGGGATCATCTTCGTAATCCTCCTCTGAAAGTTTTCCAGAGCATTTATATCCATTCTGTAATACGGTGACCAGAACTGAGCAGCATAGTCTAAATGAGGCCTAACCAAGGATATATTGAGTTGAAGAACAACCTGAGGACTTTTATTATTTATACTAGATTTGAAGCCAAGAATTCTGTTAGCTTTATTGTGAACACTAATGCTCTGTTGTCTTGGTTTTAGATTACTGCTAACCAGAACTCCTAAATCCTTTTCGCAATCAGTAGTATTAAGATTTACATTATTTAGTTAATATGTCGCATGGTTATTTTTCCTTCCAACGTTTAGAACTTTGCATTTGTCTATATTAAACTGCATCTGCCACTTCTCCGACCATTGCGTCAGTCTATTCAAATCATCCTGGAGTGCTCTAGTGTCCTCATTAGACTGAATTGGACGGCCTATTTTGGTGTCATCAGCAAATTTGCTTATGTTGCTATTTATTCCCTCATCTATGTGGTTTAAGTAAATTGTGAACAACAATGGGCCCAACATTGACCCCTGAGGAACACCGCTTGTGACGTGCCCCCATTCTGTTTCTCCCCATTTATTCAAACTCTCTGCTGTCTATTTGTCAGCCATGTCTCTACCCAGGAAAAAATTTCTCCTCCTATTCCGTGTGCCTTAAGTTTACTTAATAGCCTCTGATGTGGAACTCTATCGAAAGCCTTACTGAAGTCCATATACACAATATCATATTCATTACCATGATCTACCTCCTCAAACACCTTAGTGAAAAATGCTAGTAAATTCGTAAGACATGAACGCCCCTTTGTAAAACCGTGTTGAGATTCATTAATCAATCTGTGCCTGTCAAGATAGCTACGAATTGCTTCGGCAATTGATTCCATAAATTTTCCCACTATGGAGGTAAAGCTTATTGGTCTATAGTTCGAAGCCAAGGACCTGTCACCTGCCTTGTAAATAGGTATTACATTTGCCATTTTCCACTTTTCAGGCACTATGCCAGTTTGTAGTGACATGATAAAAAGATTAGCCAAAGGTATGCTAAGTTCCTCTTTACATTCCTTTAACACCCTTGCAAACAGTTCATCAGGGCCTGGGGATTTGTTAGATTTTAGCTTATCTATTTGTCTGAGGACCATGTCACTAGTTACCGCAATCGTGCATAGTTTATTATCGTCCTGTTCTACATAATCAATTATTTCAGGAATATCGCTAGTATTTTCCTGAGTGAAAACTGAGAGGAAGTAGGTTTTGAGAATTTCTCACATATCCTTATCACTGTCAGTGATCTGCCCAGAGTTACTCTTAAGTGGGCCAATCTTGTCCCTAATCTTATTTCTGTATACCTGAAAGAACCCTTTTGGGTTAGTCTTTGAATCCCTTGCGACGTTAGCCTCATAATCTTTTTTGCTTTTCTTATTCCTTTTTTATTTTTCTCTTTAACTGAATATATTGATTTCTTAACTGCCCATCCCCTCTTTTGATACGTTTATATACGCCTCTCTTTTGACCAGTGCGATATTTTAATCTATTGCTCATCCATTTGGGATCATTTTTGTTAGATCTAATTTCCCTACGTGGAACAAAAGTTGTCTGGGCAGCTAGAACTATGCTCTGAAAAATGTCATATTGGCAACCAAGATCACCTACCTGACTCATAGTCAGGACAACCCAAGTTAGCCCACCCAGGTAATTTTTCAGTCCCATGAAGTAGGCCAAGCGAAAATCTGGGACAGAGATTTGATTGCTGTTATCTGGGTAATTCCATGAGATATTGAAACTAAGTGATTTGTGATCACTTTCCCAAAGCTTATCATTAACCTCAAGATTATTAATTAGTGACTATTTCCTGCGAGCCCCATGAGGGCGGGGACGGTGGCTGGGCCTGGGGACAGTTGGTCCCAAAGATGACGGGGGTACTTGTACCATCAATTTGTCTAAAGTTAAAATCTCCCATTATCACAACATTTTCATATCTAGATGCCTTATGAATTTCGTCCCATAACAGCTTATTGTACTCCCTATCAAGGTTTGGGGGCCTATAAATCACAGTTTCTAAACTTATACCATGTCTAAGACAAGAATTTAAATTTTCTCTGATATGCATCGCCACACCACCACCCTTCCTGTTGACCCTATCAGTGTGGAATAGTTTAAAACCCTGTATGTTGCTTTCAGAAGGAATTTCTCTATCTTTCAGGTTAAACCAGGTCTCTGTTATACCAATAATATCTATATTACCTACACTTGCAAGTAATCTTAGCTCATCTATCTTATTTCTTAGACCCCTACTATTTGTATAGTAAACCTTAAGGGAGCTAGTCACTCGTTGGCTTCTGCTATCTCTCTTTGTTTGTTGATCAGTTGATTTGCCATTACTAGCAACTTTATTTTAAATATTGTCTTTTAAACATATCCCTGAGGTATCCCGGTAATAACTGCTGTTTTTAACCCTAATGCTGTAGCCTGATTGCTACCCACAAAAACCCATATTTCTATAATCTATCAGTTTAAATTCCTAGACAAGTCATCAGTTACCCTCTCAATCGAATTGGCTAATGCAACCACTCCGTCCACAGAGAGATGAACCCCATCCCTTGCATACATATTGTGTTTGCCAAAGAATAGGTCCCAGTTATCAATGAATGGGATTGCAAGTTCCTTGCAGTACCTGTCTAGCCAGCAATTTATAACAGTTGCCCTAGACATCCGTTCATTACCCACTCCCTTTCTAGGCAAGATGCTACATATGACTGGGATCCCTCCCTTAGACCTAACTACTTCTATGGCTGACCTGTGTTTATCCAGCAGCTCCTGTCTCCTGCCCTTCCCAATGTCATTTCCCCCAGCACTAAGACAGACAACGGGCTTCTTCCCATTACCTGACATAATATTATCCAACCTGCTGACTATGTCACCAACACCAGCTCCAGAAAGGCACACCCTCTGTCTGACCTTGTTGTCTCTGTTACAAAATGCACAGTCCTTATATCTTACCTGAGAATCTCCTATTAAAATATTCTTACCTTGATTAGCAGGGGAATCAGTGGTACCTTCAACCTCACTAACCACTGAAGTGCACTCGTCCTGAAGAACAGAGAATCGATTTCCTACCTTCATATCTTCTCTGTTAACCCTCCTTATCTTCCTTCTTCCTGAATAATGAACCACTTGCCACTTAGAGCAGCTAGTGACCATTTCCACCTTACCAGCTAAATCCTTCTCACACTCACTCCCAAACTCATCTAGGCGAAGCTTCAGCCTATTTTCCTCCTGAAGAAGTAAAACCTCCTTCTTCAACACTTTAACCTGAGATTCTAAAACACTACAAAAAGCCATGGTGCTTGGTAACACCCCACGCTAACTCCCAGAGAGTTTAGGACAGGTATGACCGCAAGTGACCACTGATCTCAGCATACATACACACATACACACACAAACACACATGCACACACAAACACACACACACACACACACACACACACACACACACAACAGTCAACGACCAGATAATCATACACATATACATACACACACACATAACAACATGTGTCTAGGACAAAATGGTAACTAACACGTACTCATATACAACAGGCCTAGTGTCTAATCGACATGTGCTTAGGACAAAATGGTAACACACACACACACGCACACACACACACACACACACACACACACACACACACACACACACACACACACACACACACACACTCACACACTCACAGACACACACACTGTTGCGAATAAGAAATTTTTTAAAGAACTTCAGAATGTGGCCTGTTATCCTTTATTTCTTATGCAACAAGATTTTTGGATCCGAGTTCTTTAGAGGTCTTTTAGAGTCTAGGGGAAATAATTTCAACTGGGAAACTTCATAGAATAATATTCAAATTTATTAAAGTATTTAAATACAATACTTTATCTTCTCTTTGTAGTTAATTTAACTTAATACTTTGTACAATAAATTTACCATATACATTTAGTTCAAAATCTTGGAAATGTCACATTAATATGGAAGTTTAATTATTCTTCCTGTATCTAAGTCCTCATTAATATTTACGTCTCTTTCTTAACAAGACTGTAGACTCAAAATACAAAAGGTACAAGATTTAACAAGACCTTTGAATCTGGCCGTAAAGTATCTATGGATTACTGAACTGACCAAGAATATAAATATCAAAAGAGTCTTTCAAAGTAATGAGGAACAAATTGAGTCAGCTCTGTAGTCCAATTCTCAAAACCATTCAACTGTACACCGTAAGAGCCAATATACGATCAGTTGTCAGGGCTAGAGCTGGGAGCAGACTGACTACTTGCCAGTCTGTTGACGTGTCGTCAGGTTGGATCAGCTGAGCCACGTCAGCCAGCCGGACATAAACAACTGAACAATTCACCGGATGGTTCCGAGACTTAAACTCTATATACACAAGAAATCCTACCTAACCATAATAGTAAAAGTTAGGGTTTCTCATCAATCTACAACTTGGGCTGAGTGAGTAAGGGGGGGGGGTTTGGGGATTACATACGGGAAGGGGGTTTTCAGGGGGACACAGCGGGGTCGCCTCCTGGGGAGGGGTGTGAGTAAGGTGTATGTGGGTATATGAAGGTGTAGATGAGTGGCATACGTGTATGTAGCATGCAAGTGGGCACAGAAAGCAAAGGTGATATCAAGTAATTACGTAGTACCGAATGGAGAATTCTGTGTTTGATGTGTCAGGGTCGTCATGAACTTCTTCATGTATTAAGTGTGAATGGTGTCAAGATTATAGTTTTAAGACCGTGAAGAGCTTTAGGGCTTATGTAGAGTGTGCGTTTATAGCCTTTATTGGGCATATTTCATGTGCGATAATTGTATCGCAATGAGAGGTTTTTTTAAATTATGTTTGTATTTAGTGTTGTGGGTTTTTAGCGAGTGTACTGTCTTTATTTTAGCATTATATAATGTGCTCATCCAGTTGCTGCGAGATGGAACGATAATGACTTCCATAAATTTGTAATGCCTCGTTAAAAGTTTGTAATGGGACAGTATGGTTTAGTCTCTTACTTTATATAATGTGCTCAGCCGGTGGAAGAGGCTGTATTAATATTTAGTAATATTTGTTAATATTTATTTAGTATAAGTGTGAGGCTTAGGATTTGATTTTTGATTTAGGATTTGATTTTGATTTTTTTTTCAATGCATATTAAAGAGAGATTGTAGTGAGGCACGTATGTATGTGCTTAGGTACTTCTTATTGTATAGGGGCTAATTTTGGGAAAAGCATGTGATTGTTTTTAACTGAGATTGTGATGTAGGTTATTACTCTGATTATCTCCTGTGAAGGTTGTGAACCTTTGTCATATGTCCGTCATAGTATGTTAACTATACAAATCTGAAAGTTGTATATAGTTTATATTTTATATAGTTTATATAGTTTATATATGTTTATATATGTTTATATAGTTATAGTTTATATTGTTTATCATAGTATGTTATATGGAAAATTTTGTGTGTATATGGGTAACCTCTTTTATGTCAATTACAATGTGTTGTTAATAATTGGTTAGTGTATGTTGTGTAGGATTGAGGATCCTACTGTATCCATTTTTATATCTTTATTTAATATCAAGCTGTAAAGTTTTTAAATAAAATATAAAAAAAAAAAAATAGTAAAATAATAGTGATAATTACAAAATAGTGAAAATAACGATAGTGATAATAACGATAATAGCGATAATAGTGATAATAACAATAATAGTGATAATACCATGGTATTTTTCATATATTAACAGATAATAATATAACGCCGAAAGTCTCTATTTTAGCTATGAACGGGGACTTTCGCGCTATAATATTAAGTGATGAACATATGCTCTTACAATATTTAAATAACACAGGATGACCAATTTCAAAGATATAACACACACACACACACACACATACACACACACACACACACACACACACACACACACACACACAACACACACACACACAACACACACACACACACACACACACACACGTACTCATATACAACAGGCCTAGTGTCTAATCGACATGTGCCTAGGACAAAATGGTAACTAACATACACACACACAAATACACGTGCTCATATACAACAGGCCTAGTGTCTAATCGACATGTGCCTAGGACAAAATGGTAACTAACACAAACACACACACACACACACATATACACACACACACACACACACACATACACACACACACACACATACACACAGATACACACACACAACACATCACTTGAAACTGGGCAACTCCCTGAGGTATGGAAAATGGCAAATGTAGTCCCAATTTTTAAAAAGGGAGACAGACATGAGGCACTAAACTACAGACCTGTATCACTAACGTGTATAGTATGCAAGGTCATGGAGAAGATCATCAGGAGGAGAGTGGTGGGGCACCTGGAAAGAAACAAGTGTATAATTGACAACCAGCACGGTTTCAGGAAAGGAAAATCCTGTGTCACAAACCTACTAGAGTTTTATGACAAGGTGACAGAAGTAAGACAAGAGAGAGAGGGGTGGATCGACTGCATATTTTTGGACTGCAAGAAGGCCTTCGACACAGTTCCTCACAAGAGGTTACTGCAAAAGCTAGAGGATCAGGCACACATAACAGGAAAGGCACTGCAATGGATCAGAGAATACCTGTCAGGGAGGCAACAACGAGTCATGGTACGCGACGAGGTGTCAGAGTGGGCGCCTGTGACAAGCGGGGTTCCACAGGGGTCAGTCCTAGGACCTGTGCTGTTCTTGGTATATGTGAACGACATAACTGAAGGGATAGACTCAGAAGTGTCCTTGTTTGCAGATGATGCGAAGTTAATGAGAAGAATCAAATCGAATGAGGATCAGGCAGGACTACAAAGAGACCTGGACAGGCTACAAGCCTGGTCCAGCAACTGGCTCCTTGAATTTAACCCTGCCAAATGCAAAGTCATGAAGATTGGGGAAGGGCAAAGAAGACCGCAGACACAATATAGTTTAGATGGCCAAAGACTGCAAACCTCACTCAAGAAAAAGACCTGGGGGTGAGTATAACACCGAGCATATCTCCTGAGGCGCACATCAATCAGATAACTGCTGCAGCATACGGGCGCCTGGCAAACCTACGGATAGCGTTCCGATACCTCAGTAAGGATTCGTTTAAGACTCTGTATACCATCTACGTCAGGCCCATACTGGAGTATGCAGCACCAGTTTGGAATCCACACCTAGTCAAGCACGTCAAGAAATTAGAGAAAGCGCAAAGGTTTGCAACAAGACTAGTCCCAGAGCTACGGGGATTGTCCTACGAAGAAAGGTTGAGGGAAATCGGCCTGACGACACTGGAGGACAGGAGGGTCAGGGGAAAATTTATAAAACTATAAAAATGCGCGGAATAGAAAGGTGGACAAAGAGGGGTGTTCCAGAAAAGGGGACACAGACAAAGGGTACAATTGGAATTAAAAGATCAGATGAATCAAAAGGGATGTTAGGAAGTATTCTTCAGTAAGAGTAGTAGGCCGTGGAATGCCTAAAAAGGACGTAGTGGAGGGGGAAACCCAAACTATTTTTAAAGGCGAGGTAGATAGAGTCATGGGGCAGGGAGAGAGGGACCTAGTAGCAATCAGCGAAGGGCGGGAAAGGAGCGTGACCGCCCCCTGAAACCCACAAATGGTGAGTACAATAGGTGAGTACACACACACACCACATCGCGCCACAACACTACCAAAACCCACCACACCCCCAATACATAAACACTACACACAAAAAACCCACAAACACACACACACACAACAACACACAACTATACACACCCCTCACCACACACAACACCACACAACACCCACACACACCCCACACACACACACACACCACAAACACACCACACAAAAACAATCACACACACACACCACACACACACAACACCCACAACCACACCACACATACACACCCCCACAAACACCACACACACACACCACACCACACCCCAACACACCACCCACACAACACAACCACACAACCCCCCACCACACCACCCACAACACCACACACACAACAACACATGCACATACACACCACCCAACACACCCCCACCACCCCCTCCACCCCCTTAAACAAACATTACAAAAAGTCCCCCCCCCTCCCCAAACCCCACCTCCCCCCTTTTCCAACCCCTCACCTTACCCCCTTTCCCCCCCCCCAAACAAACCCCCCCCAAAACCCTTTCAAACCCCCCCCAACTACCCCCTCCCCCCCAATAACCATTCCCCTCCCCCTAACCATCCACCCCCTCTCTCCCTCAAACCTCAAACCCCCCTCCCATAAACTATCTCTACCCCTCCAATAACCCTCTTTCCCCCCCCCCCCACAACCCCTCCACCCCTCCCCCTAACCTCTATTCCCCCCCTAACCACCCCTCCCCCCTTTGTGGGGAAGGGGGAACCTAGAAACCCGGGTGAGGCAAAGGGGTCCAAGGACGAATTGGAAGGGAGGAATGGGGGGTGAGACAAAAAAAAGGGAGGAAGACGGGGGAAGGGACTAGATGACCCTGGAAAGGAAGTGGAAGAGAGGTTAGAAAGCAAAAAATGCAGAAGGGGGAAAGGGAAACCCCCAACAGCACCCAGAAATCAAGATAGAGAGATTAGAAGGGGAGCGGGAAAATTCTGAAACAGCACAGAACAAAGATATTACAGAATTTTGGCATGGGCAAGGGCTACATAAAACCCACAAAAAACGGGGTTGGGGAAGCAGGGAAAAACTAAGCGGTATGCAAGGCCCTGTCAAACCCACAGGGGGCCAAAAAAAAGAAGGGAGCACACTGGGAAAGAATGAGGGGTTTGGGAAAGCATTAAAGAACTAGGACATGTGAAAGGGACCTTACCAGTTTACCTGGGGGGGCCCGGGAAACCCGGGAGGCAGGAAGGACAAACCAAAAGCATGGGGGCCCATAACTGGGGAAAAGGGACTAAAGGAAAGGGAAAACACTCCACGGGAAAAAATTTTAAAACACATCAAGGATCAAGGGGGATAAAGTGGGAGGGGGAAAAGGGGAAGAATCCGTTTTTGCTAGGGGCTAGACGAAGCAAAAGGGGGAAAAAAAACTTTTTTTTTTAAAAAGAAAGTAGGAGGAGAAAAAAGCTTATTGAAGTTTATCATAAAGGTGTAGGCGAGGGGGCTGACCCATTGGAAAAATTTTCAGAGAATTGGGGGGTTCACAAAAAAAAAGGAAAAGGGGCCCTTTCCCCAAAAGTAATTTTAAAAAGGCAGAATAAACCCCAAACCCATGATTGCGGGGGAAAGCAGGGCCCTTGGGGAGGCGAGAAAAGAGTTCCAGAGTGTTACCTCGATCGGGGGAAAACGGGAACACAGGACGAAAGGAAGACAATAAAAAGAAGAGTTCAAAAACG